GGAGAAGCGGTGCATCGGTGCGCGCCCGGGATCCGAACCCGGGCCGCCAGCAGCGGAGCGCACGCACTTAACCGCTAAGCCACGGGGCCGGCCCTGACGGTTCTAATTTAAAAAAAAAAAAAAGACTGCAATGAGTGTTGGCGAGGATGTGGAAAACCCTCACATGTGCTGATAGATAGGTCGACGGTGCAGCTGCCTTCAAAAACGGTCTGGCAGTTCCCCAGAATGTTAGAAATAGTTACTATACAACCCAGCAATTCCACTCCTAGGTATATATGCAAGAGAAATGAAAATGCATGTCCACACAAAGACCTGTACAAATGTCCACAGCAGCGTTATTCATAAGAGCCAAAGAGAGGGAAAACCCAAATGTCCATCAACTGATAAATGGATAAATAAAAGTGGTCCATCCATACAATGGAGTATTATTCAGCCATATAAAGGAATGAAGTACAGATTCAGGCTACAACATGGATGAACCCTGAAAACATGATGGTAAGTGAAAGAGGCCAGTCATAACAGCCCACGTGTGGGATGATCCCATCTACATGAAATATCCAGAAGAGGCAAATTTACAGAAACAGAAAGTAGATTAGCACTTGCCTAAGGCTGGGAGAGAATGGGGAGGGACTGTTGAAGAATAAGGGGTTTCTTTTGGGGGTGATAAAATGCTCTAAAATTGACTATGGTGACGGTTGCACAACTCTGTAAATATACTAAAAACCATTGTATTTTACACTTTAAATGAGTGACTTGAATGGTATGTAAATGATATCTTTATAAACCCTTTAAATATAAAAGGTAGGTGGCATCAGTAAGAATGGCAGAGTACAGGGCTGGCCCCATGGCTTAGCGGTTAAGCGCGCACTCCGCTGCTGGCGGCCCAGGTTCGGATCCCAGGCGCACACCGACGCACCACTTCTCCGGCCATGCTGAGGCCGCGTCCCACATACAGCAACTAGAAGGATGTGCAACTATGACATACAACTATCTACTGGGGCTTTGGGGGGAAAAGAAAGAAAAGAAAGGAAAGAAAGGAAAGAAAGGAAAGAAAGAAAGAAAGAAAGAAAGAAAGAAAGAAAGAAAGAAAGAAAGAAAGAAAGGCAGAGTAAGGACCGCCAAAAATCCTCTCCTCCGCAAAAGCAATGAGAACACTGGCAAAAATCGCCAGAATCAGCTTTTTGAGAACACTGGAAACTGACTAAAGGTTGGTGGCACTCCAGGGTACATGTATTGATGTAATAATAAGTTAAAATGAGGTCATCCTGGAGTAGGGTAGGCCCTTAATCCAATGTGACTAGAGTTTTTTTGTGTGTGTGAGGAAGATTAGTCCTGAGCTAACATCCGATGCCAATCCTCCTCTTTTTTGCTGAGGAAGACTGACCCTGGGCTAACATCCATACCCATCTTCCTCTACTTTATGTGGGACGCCACCACAGCATGGCTTGACAAGCGGTGTGTCGGTGCGCACCCGGGATCCAAACCCTGGGCCGCCACAGTGGAGCACGCACACTTAACTGCTATGCCACCGGGCCGGCCCTGTGACTAGAGTTCTTATAAGAAGAGGAGAAGACCACATGAAGATGCAGACACACTGGGAGACCATGTGACAACAGAGGCAGAGATTGAAGTGCTGCGAGTGCAAGCCAGGAACACCAAGGACTGCCAGCCACTCCCCGAAGCCAGAAGAGGCAAGGAAGGATCCTCCGCTATAGGTTTCAGAGGGAGCATGGCCCTGCTGACACCTTGATTTCAGACTCCTGGCCTCCAGAACCATGAGACAATAAGTTTCTGTTGTTTTAAGCCCCCCAGTTTGTGGTTCTTTGTTATGGAAACCACAGGAAACTCATACAAGAGACTTTACAGAATTAGTTCAGAAAAGTCATTAAATAAACAAACAGCAACAACACCTGGGGGGATCTGA